AGAAAGAGAGAGACAGAGAGAGAGAGAGAGAGAGAAGGAGAGAGAGAGAGAGAGAGAGAGAGAGAGAGAGAGAGAAAAAAAGAGAGATGGCGAGCGCGCGCTTGCGTAGAGATATAGCAGATCTTTTATTACCACGGCATCAATGACTCTTTCATCATCTTTGGTTACCTAGTAACTCGGAACAAACTATTATACAGCTTTCCCCTTTTTATTGACGTGCTGTGCTACAAAAAAGCGTGTTTGTACTTGTTATTATGGGTATTTATAACCTATGCTTAGTCATCTGCTTTTAAAGCGTAGTGTTGACAATTTCTTACAATACCAAATCTGTTGAAAAATAAAACAGAAACGATCCCTCGACCAGACTCGTTGACTTACGGCAGGTTCCCGACATGTCCGTGACGTACGAGCAATATATATATATATATATATATATATATATATATCGGACTGGTACCGTAAATAGACTCCCGGGTAGTGTGCCAGTTGCGCCTAGTCATGTAGACATGTCACTGGAGCCACGGAGTCAAGGGCGGCAGTGCTGCAGATGGAATTAAGGGCCGGGGCGCTGGCGGGGAATGTCGCAAACGCCCGTGGGAATGTCGCAAACGCCCGTGGGAATGTCGCGAAACCCAATTGCGTCGGAAATTGGCTTAATTTTCGTCGTTTTTTTACGTTGCTGTAGAGAAAAGCGCAAAGTACATACCACACAGCATTTACAAGCACGCACGTACCTAGCTATATTAGACTATGCAGAAGCGGTCTAAAACCGTGCAGTATTTCGCCTTTATTCTATATACCAGTCAACGCAAAATCCATCCCACGGCAAAAATGAAGCCGCGATGCCGCGGCTGCACATAAAGACTGCTTAAGTTATCATGTTTTTTTTAATATGTGGAGTTGGTAATGGTTCTTACATATTGCTGATACTTAGCTAAAGATGCGAGGTAGTATATTTAGTAGTTCTTGCTGCGTCAGGACCTCCACTCCTCTCGTGTAAGAAACTTGAGGCTATATGCGGAACCGTAGCTTGCTGACGCTTGTTAGCTGTCTCACGATTAAAGTTTGAAATTAATTTGTTTACTTCCTGCTCAGCTGTAAATAGTAACTCGTAAACCTGTCGGTGCGTGTCGAGCATATATATACTATATATTCCCTATTGATGCAGTCGGTCGGTCGGTCGGTCGGTCGGTCGGTCGGTCGGTCGGTCGGTCGGACGGTCGGTCCGTCGGTCGGTCGGACGGTCGGTCGGTCGGTCGGTCGGTCGGTCGGTCGGTCGGTCGGACGGTCGGTCGGTCGGTCGGTCGGACGGTCGGTCGGTC